ACACACACACACACACACACACACACACACACACACACACAAACACACATTCTCATGTGTCCTCTCATGCACTCTCAATCTTCCCCCTCCACATATTGTATAAACACCAATTTCTACGTCCAACCGCAGCAATGAATTTCCCGGTAATACATCCTCATTGAACTAATCGGAAAGACCACAGACTACAACACAACAGACATAGCCATCCACTCCCAGTTCCTCCCAACATCACCTGGGAGTTATTCAACCCCATGGCTACGTTACGACCCTATCGTGTCCATGAATACGGCGTACACTGTAGTGGAGTCGCTTAGCTCAGCTCTATCAAAACACTCGATAAAGATTCATTGATTCAATTAAGAGCCCAAGATTGCTCGCAGCTATGAGATAAGCCTCCCACTCGAATCATTCGATAAGCAACGGAGCGTGAACAACCGATGGGGAATAAGGAGCAAAGAAAGCTAAGGAGGGTTCAGTTCAATTATCTTTTACGAGGGTCGGAGGGCTGTTGTTAAAGAAATTAGATCTAGATGTAATTTGATAGGTCATGTGTGTACACAAAAAAGTTAAATAAACCGTTTGCACTAATATTGCATTTTTATGACCCGTGTTTACAGTTCAGTTGAAAAAATAAATGAACAGTATTCCTTTGAGCACAGTTTGACTTTCAACAGAATCAATAACCATAATATGCTCGGATAAAAATAGCAATATTATTCGTTTGTAGTCATCAATATAAAGTCATTTCACTTATAACGAATCATTTAAAAATAACATACTATACAGTGAAACATCGATGACGAGAACACTAACATCATTATATCGGCATCAATAGCAAGAATACTGGCAATAATAATAATAATAATAATAATAATAATAATAATTAATATGAAGGGAGTGTTACTTCACCCACTGACCCTAATAATGTGCACGTAATACCTCTTGATAGCGCCCTAACTCATTGAAATCCAAGCTACGCTTCTTATTAGATTGGCCGATAAATTCGATAAGGAAGGATTCGCTGCCTGGTAGGAATTGAGTCATGTAATTGAGAACCTAGTCTTGCTGGGTTCAAATCCTGTCAGGGTCACACTTTTTACTTTTTTTCCCCTTTTTGTTCCCTTCTTTTGAAAGCGGGTTGTTTTTGGGGTTATTTTTTGCAGGGGTTTTGTTTTGTTTTCTAATAACGATAATGGCAGACACGCATTCTTTGCATACAGTAGAACTGTATACACTATATAAAAGACAAAATTGCTACATCCACCACCCCCATCCCCATCCACAACTTTAGTTATTTTCCAATATTAAAATGATACTGTCCATGACGTCTCTTTGTCTAAGACAACCATTTTCTAATCGGGATTGCGCGGTCGCTGTAAAGTAGCAACAGCAGCAACAACAGCGGTAGCACAAGCCGCTTCATTTTTTTAAGCGCAGAAATGAAACGTTTTCTGAGTTTTTCTTTTTCTGATCATTTCCTCTCTACGGTCTACAAAATGAGAGAGTGTATGTAAAGATTTAAAACAGGTTTTTAGGTTAGTTTTAGTAAGAGTTTTACGGCACTTGCAACACAATAAGGTCATATAAGTGCCCAATATTAGAGGTGTTACAAGAGAGTAACAAACACAAAAAAAAGAAGGAGGGAAGATAAGGAAGACAGATGTTTGATAGGAAAGAAGGAGCAAACCACAGCAGAGCACCCGCCAACCACCCGCTTACAACTGTTTTATTAGATTAAAAGTAAGGTTTGTATAAGTATTTCTTTTCGATGCTTTCTATCTAAACAGACTTTCTCTCTCACTCCCTCCGTCTCACTTACTCCGTCTCATTCACCCACTACGTCTCGTTGTCTCTGTTTGTCTATCTGTCTGTCTGTCTGCCTGTCTGCCTGTCTATCTGTCTGTCTGTCTGTCAGCCTGCATCTCTTTCTCTCCCTCCCTCTCTCTCTCTTTCTCTCTCTCTCTCTCTTTCTCTCTCTCTCTCGTCTCTCTCTCCCTCTTTCTGACTCTCTCCACTCCACCTCACTCACTCACTATGTTTCATTCTCTCTCTCTCATGCTCTCTCTCTCTCTCTCTCTCTCTCTCTCTCTCTTTCTCTCTCTATCTCTCTCTCGCTCTGTCGGTCCGTCTGTCTGTCTGTCTGTCTGTCTGTAAGTCTGTCTGTCTCTCTCTCAAACACACACACACACACAC